ACAAGTTTATAAGCAAATAAGAGGCCTCAATTTCTATTTTTGTAAATTTGTTCCCTAAAAAATATACAAGAAACAGCAACATACTATTATTTATTTGTTTATTACAGAGTGTATCCTACTTTCATTTTTCTCTATTCCAAGATTGTATTTTTTTTGTCAGGGCATTTTACTTACCCAATTATAACATTGTACTTTGAAAAAAAACTTTTTAAAAGAGTAAGTATACTTTGAAAAATCCAGCTACTTGCTTTGTATATTCTTACTGCGATGGAAGAAATGAAAGTTGGATGCTATAATAAACATATGGATGAAAGTATATTCTTGCTTCTAACCTAAAAGAAAAAGAGGTGAATAAAAAATTGTAATTCAAATGGATAGAAGAATAAAGAAGGACTTACTGTTTAGACATTTCCTTCTTCAACGTGGGATGGCAATCATCTCCATATGCAGCAAGTGTATGAAACAAGAAACCACTATGGGTCACAACTGCAATCTCCTTCTCTTCCCGAGTCAACAACCTGCATAAAATATAAAAATATATACATTTTATGTCAAAACATTAAGTTGTGTTTCTTTCTTTTGACTTTATTTTGAAAAAAAAAATGTGTATGATAAGAAAGAAATGACCATTTCATAAACTTCACCCCCCTGGCTGCAACATCCTCATTCTTTTCTCTTGTATCAGGCGTCCACAAAACATCCCCCTCGTTTTCTATCTGAATAAAACATCAACATGGATGTAATAAATACTCTGCCACTTTTAGCAAGAAACTGCATAACTAGTTCAGAAAGGATGAGATTGTATGCAAAAAAGACAAACCATTTCTGATTGGAGTAATTTTTATTCCTGTATTTCTTTTATATAGCATCTCACTGTCGTGTCTATTAAAAGTTAAACTTATTATTATTTTGAAAAATCTACCCAATCAGCATTGTACTTTTAAAAATATTTCTTATTAGGACACTATACTTTGACAATTTTCAAAGTATAATGTTGTGACTGCTATTTTTTGCATTTAACCCAAACTTTAAGGGCTAAATGCAAGAAATAACAGCCTACTTTCCTTTATTTGTGTATCATCCTAATTCCAAACAATTTTATTGCATGTACTTTCCAAAAAAATAAATAATAATCTTTACTTATTTATTAGGGTACTGTAGTTTAAAAGATGTACCAAATCATATTATTGTAGTTTAAATTTTTCTTTTTTGTATTGGGGCTTTATACATGGAAAAATCTACCCAATGATTGCAGTGACAATAATGACATTGCTATAATTGGGTAGAACAATGAACAATGTTTAAGTAAGATTCCATAATAAGCAAATCAATGGAAGAAGTTTAAAAGTGGAGGAAGCTACTTGCCAAAGAAAAATCAATTGCTGGGAACATGGGCTTGTATTCACTTATACTTCTCCTCCTGTCACATGGATGAACACCCTGCATAAAAATAAAACATTGAAATGAGTTTGTCAATCAAGCCCTCTCATATTTCTAATTTGCTATCATGTAAATGTAAGACATTATAATTCTGGACTTAATAAGAAGATGTTCAAAGTGTTTTTCTCTTTACATTAATTAATGCAGAAAAAGCCACTTAATAGAAGAAAATAGGTCGTTTGAGTAGAGTTTTACATACACATACACATACACATACACATACACATACATGGGTGGTGAAATTTGTGAAAGAATTATTGACGTACCAAATGCTCTCGACAAAGCTCAACAGCGATGAATGGAGGAGAATTTAGACTTGAAATTGCAGGCCGGTTGCTTTTGCCTGTATTTTGTGCCATTAGTGGATTCCCATCACCTGAACCTGAACCTGAACCTTCACCCCCAAAAGCACCAACTGCTGTTTGCATTGTCCTACAACCAAAAAAATCAATCATGGAAATTAGCAGACAGCATTTCTGGTTTACAAATCCCAAATTGTTATTTGTTAGGACATTCTACTTTGAAAAATATACTCAGATATAGCTTTGCATTTGGATTTTCCAAACTACAATCAAAGTATAAACTCATACCAATTTGAAAATGACTGGGAAAACGTACCTCAGCAAAGGTGAAACCACAACCAATTCAATACGTTTAGAAAGACCAGATGCACG